TGGTAAACAATATTTTGCAAAATGTACTGTTCATATTATATTGCCACTCATTGTACAAATATAAACTGTTTCAGACTCTTAATAAGTAAGTGGAAACAATCAGAAAAGACTCCATGGTTTTTATTTCACTCACCCACTTTTTTAATCATCTCCACCAATAGAGAGCCTAGAACATACACAGGCTAGTAGCAACAGGGATTCAAGACACCATAGAGAGTCATTGTAAACTGACTTTTAAGAAAAATCTCTCTTACAGGTAACTGACAAATAGGGAAAGTCCTGCTCCATGCATTTTGCCTTTAAAAAGCTGTAACTCTCGAAGACTTTATTCATATCTAAGAGATTTTCTAATGGCCCAAGAGCATGAGCTAACAGGTTATTTGTAATATCGTTAGTTTATTAGTTGTCTTTAGTCATCGTAGTCAATTCTAGTCTCTTTAGTTCTCTTGTTACCTTCAGTTGTATTTAGTTGTACCTAGTTGTATATTAATAACTCGTCCAAACATGACCCGCCTAGATTAGCTCAGCTATCTGCGGGCATGTTACAATTGTAATTTTAATTTGAGAACAAATAAAATGTATGTATGTATGTATGTATGTATGGTAAGGATAGATGGCACAAGAGAAAATCTTAATAAATCATGGGAACATGTATAATAATTTGGAAGGAAATGTGGATCAGAATTTGGAGAAAAATTGTAAGGAAGGACAGATTACCCTTACTAATTATCTTGGCCAAAAATCACTGGAAGAGGTGAATGAAACTGATGTCAAAGAACTTATACTAGGTAACAATTAATTCCACATCTTACCTATTGAAAAGTTACTAATGATCACTCTGACTAGCTCAAAGACCAGAAGCAAATTTTTTGGGTCCTACAAAAAAAACATCAAAAAGGAAATTGTGTCTTGATCACAATTGAGCATAGTGTATAAGTTGTTAAAAATAATGCACCATTATTGCACCAGCTAAATGTGTTGAACTGCAACTGTATTGCACCAGTAAATGCACCAGCTTGTCTACTGTTTCTCAAGGTTTATAGGGATTACCAATACCGCTGACAAGATCTAACCATGAGTGACAACATTTACATGTCAACAATACTGGATAAGATATCTCTAAGAAAGTTGATCAATAGTCAGCTGACAGATGGGCATCAATATTTTTGGAGCTGTTACTTTTTTTCACCTAAAATCCAGTTGATCTTTTAAGTAATGGTGTTCAAGGAACCCATACTTATGGTAGCTATTTTGATGTTGCAAAAAAAACAAAAACAAAACAAAAAAAAAAATGGAGAATTTTTCTACTGACCTTTTCTCCATCAACAGCTTGAATGAAACCAAAAACAAAATCATTTCCAATCGTCTTCAAAGCTTTAAAAAGCAAAGTGTTTTAAAAACATGTAAGTGACAAGAAATCGTAGACTTTCCCTTAAAACTGCCAGTGAAGTTTCAAGTCAAAACTGAGAACATTTTGTTTACCCCTGCATTCATACAATGTAGCGAAGAAACTCCATAAATGGGTACTACAATGTAAGTACTGGTTGAGATAATTAGGTTTTCTATATGTACATGTAATTTACGCATCGCTGAGATAAAATCTTCTGAACTGTACAACATCTTAAACACCTTTAAATTAGATTGTTCAAATTGAATTCTGATTTAATTTTTGGGGCTAGGGAATTTAAGTGAGAAGGGTAAAGAATGCAAAATGATAAGCTCACCTGTTAGATATTTATTTAAAAGAACAGCAAACAAATTAAATGTGGTCAGTCTGCCTTCCTTCAGCANGATTACCAATACTGCTGACAAGATCTAACCTTGAGTGACAGCATTTACATGTCAACAATACTGGACAAGATATCTCTAAGAAAGTTGGTCAATACGCAGCTGACAGATGGGCATCAATATTTTTGGAGCTGTTACTTTTTTTCACCTAAAACCCAGTTAATCTTTTAAGAAATGGTGTTCAAGGAACCCATACTTATGGTAGCTATTTTGATGTTGCAAAAAGCAAAACAAAACAAAACAAAACAAAACAAAACAAAACAAAACAAAACAAATAGAAATTGTGAATTTTTCTACTGACCTTTTCTCCATCAACAGCTTGAATGAAACCAAAAACAAAATCATTTCCAATTGTCTTCAAAGCTATAAAGAGCAGTAAAGTGTTTTAAAAACATGTCAGGCTCAGTTCAGACATCTTGCTTCTGTCGTGCCGAACTAAATTGCAATTAGGTTTGACTGTAGCACGGCAGAAAAACAACTCTGATTCAGACGTCGTGCCAGAGTTGAAGCAAATTCAGGATATACTGATGCCCTGTAACAATTCTTCTCCTAACTTCCCGTGAGAATGCAATCTCACCAAAATACATTAATATAATCTATGAATTTTGTTTAGCGTGGCAGAAGCACGACGTTTTAATCACCGCTGTGCCAGAGTCGTGTAGCACGACAGAGCTTGTCGAACTTAATTGCTTGCCGAACTTAATTCAAAAGTCTGATTTAGACGCTGTGCTTCTGCTGTGCTTTTGTCGAACTTAATTCCTGAATTTAGTTCGGCACGGCAAAAGCACGACGTCTAAACTGGGCCTAAACGACAAGAAATCATACACTTTCCCTTAAAACTGCCAGTGAAGTTTCAAGTAAAAACTTAGAACATTTTGTTTACCACTGCATTCATACAATGTAGCTAAGAAACTCCATAAATGGGTACTACAATGTAAGTACTGGTTGAGTTAATTAGGTTTTCTATATGTAAATGTATACATTGCTGCGATAAAATCTTCTGAGCTGTACAACATCTTAAATTAGATTGTTCAAATTGAATTCTGATTTAATTTTTGGGGGTTAGGAAATTTAAGCGAGAGGGGTAAAGAATGCAAAATGATAAGCTCACCTGTTAGATATTTATTCAAAAGAACAGCAAACAAATTAAAT